CCGTCAGCAGAGGGCAGGGGCTGAGCAAGCGGGGGAGAGGGAGGCGTGGGCTTCGGGGGCCGGGCGGCTCGAGAGCGTCGGGTCGTCGGAGGTCTGGGGCCCTGCACCCCCCGCCTCCTCAATCGTCCTCGTCCTCGTCCTCCTCCCTCGCTGGTCCCCCTTGTCCATTTCCTGCTCGTGATCCTTCTCCTCCTCCTGGTTCCCCTGCTCCTCCTCCTCCTCCTCCTCCTCCTCCTCCTCCTCCTCCTCCACCTCCTCAGTCCCACGGATCCCCCAGATTCAGGGTCCGCCCTGGCTGGTTCTCCATCCCAAAACAAAGTATTGACGGCCCTGGGGCCCAGGACGGCCCCTCACATTATGAAGGACCTCCAGTGCTCTCTCATTGATTACTCTCCTTTCAATATTCCTCATCGGCTCCTTCTTGAGCGAGCTCAGAGCTGCGTAGTTTGACGACGCCTTCATGTTCAGCCCCTTCATGCGGGTAGACCGTATCGCCGATAGCCTCTCGGCGGCTCGCACACAGCCGGAAGCGGGAGAGACGGGGAGAGCGCGCACAAACCTCTGACGGCTCGACCAACATCGGGGCGGCGGTGTTTCGCCTTGTCTGTCCTCCCAGAGCCTGCTCCCGGAGGCGGCGAAAGGGTAGGACAGCAAAGGGCAGGGTGGAGAATCGGCTCGCGTACCTCATGGTTCTTCCTGGCGCCTCCTGTGGCGCCCGGAGGCGCCAACGCATCGGGGGACGGGCCCAGCGGCGGGGCCGAAACTAGCTGCGTGCAGCGGATGTCGTAGCCCCCCCTTTCTCCTACCCTGCCCGGTCGTGCGGCCCGAGTTTCGGAGCTCTGAGGCAGTCAAAGACCAACCCACCTCCCGCAAGTTTTCCCCGCGACGTGGCGGCGCCCCAGGACCCCAACATCTCAACGTGCGCGCCGAAGTCGGAGACTGCAAACATAGAAATCTGACCCCGTGGGCCGCGTCGCGCGCGTCGACCGCGGCTAAAACCTTGCGTTTAACTTCGAGGAGGGCTGCAGGATCCAGGACATGCCCCCAGGAAGAGGTCGAGCTGGCGCTGGGGCCCGCGCAGAGGGAAGCAGGGCGGCGAGAGCCTCGGCACGCGCGCGGGAGGGGTGGGGCACGGCGGCCGCGCGCAAGGCGCAGAGCGAGCAGGCCAGTCCGGGAAGAGCGCCGACGGACACAGCGGGCACGCGCAGGGACGACTCGTGCGCTGGCTGCCGACACATTAGCGTTACAGTCGGGGCCTTGACCTAAGGAACCCTAAATAAGGAACGAGGCCCCTTTTTTCCATAAGCTAACCTTCGATTTCCTGTCGAAGAAGTAAGAAAAGCCTGAGGCAAGCTGTGAAACACTTAAGGAGCGCGGAGCCCCTCCCCAACGAAAAGGGTTCCTTGTTCAGGGCCCCGACTGTAGGTCGGGCACGTCCTCCTACAGGCGGGTTCTGGAAGAAAAAAAGAAAACTGGTCAAACCAAAGAGTCGACGAATCGTCCTTTGACTATTTATCACGTTGAATTGAACATTCCTTCTGGAGAGGGACATGTCCGACTTTACACTAGCGGGTGACAAAAACGGCACGACATAAACTTGCCCGTCACCGGGGGCGCCTTGTCCCAGGGCGACTGGACAGTTTGATATACGTGCCACCGCAGGAGCATAAACGTTCCAGCCGCCCTGGGGCAGCGCCCCCGACGGCGAAAGAGTTGATTTGCGTGCCGCTTTCGCCCGTAAAACACAGCGCGGATCGCTCAGCCCTGCACAAGTCGGCGGCCTCCCGACCACGCGTATCCTTCGACGACGCCCAAGCCTGGGCCACCGGGGGCGCTCGATCTTGAGCGCCCACGGCGGGGTCGCCGCCGCGTCGACACGACGCGAAGCTGCCGCAGGGCCCCAGACATCCGACTTCGTGTCTTTCCACGGCGTCGCTCCCCGATTGCCTGAACCTCTTTCCAGGGACCGGCTTCTCATCCCGAGCCGTGCTTTGGCAGTGCCAGGGGTCCGGTGGGGGCACCCAGGCCAAGCATGGCCGAAAGCCTCGCGCCGTGAGCTGCTCACGACGCGAGGCCCTGGCGGACCGTCGAGCGACGGTCCTGCCCGCCACGGTATTGCCCGAGCCTCCTCCGTCGACGTAAAGCTCCGAGAACCCTGAGCCCCCAAAGTTGTCATCCCTTGGACGCCAACTTCTTGCTTCCGCCGGCAGAAGCGGCCTCATTGTACTTCCGCCGGCCTTCAGAGAGAGGAGAGAGGAGGAGGAGGAGGAGGAGGAGGAGGAGGAGGAGGAGGAGGAGGAGGAGGAGCAGGAGGAGCAGGAGGAGGAGAAAGAGGAGGAGAAGGAGGAGGAGGCGGCCTCATTGTACTTCCGCCGGCACTCAGAGATAGCAGAGAGGAGGAGGAGGAGGAGGAGGAGGAGGAGGAGGAGGAGGAGGAGAAGGAGGAGACGGCGGCGGCGGTCTCACTATGCGATCCAGGTCCTGACGCATGCTTGCAAGGCTTAGGATCGGTGTGCGCGAGTGGTGCACTGTGCACCCCGCGTTGTCAAAAGCATGAGTCTTCCCCTCGACACCAAAAAAACCATGAGCCACTGAGCGAAAACGGTACCGTTTTCTCCATGCCCCCGCCCTCCGCGCCCCCGGGGGAGCGCAGCCACCGCGCAGCCCGCGACACGCGGGCGCTCGCTCTCGCCGAGGCTCGCGGCCCTTGGCGACGTGCCTGCGTGCTGCGACATCCGCGCAGCCCGACTTCTGACTCCCTGCCAGGCCACCCCAAGCCAAACCCGAAGACCCCCATTTTCGGGTTGGGGGGGGGGGTACGGGTTCCAGACGTATTTTTGTCATTGTGCCCCGACCCCCCCCACCCCCGGAAATGGAGGGCAAGTTGAGGCCTTCGGGTTGGGTTGGGGTGGCTTGGTCGCCGCTGACCTTCGCGCCTAATGACCGGGACGAGGGGCGCGACGCGCGGCGGATCTTCCCAGAGGTCCGCTGCCCCAAAGCTGCCCCAAAAGGAGCGGTGGAGCGGCCCGTCGGAGGCCATGTTCGGCCCCCAGGGCTATGTTGCTCCCATCGTACGTAAGGACCACATCCCAAACATAATCTCGAGCACCCGCAGACGCATCGAAACGGTGTCGAACGAGTATCGCCTCCCGGGGCGCGACACGTGACGACCCTCCAGTTTCGGCACTGGTGATCGAGGCCAAAAAGCAGGCTGGCACATCATCAGCCCCGGGGCCCTCCATGGGCCCCACGAACAGAAGACTCCAGCTGAGAAGCCGGCCCCGAGGAAGCGGTCGTGGCCTCCCGGGGCCCACGCATCGAGACAACAAATGCTGGAGCGCCGCGCGCCCGGCATCGCAGCCCTGCGGGGCTCCCGCGGGGGAGGGCCATGCAGCTCTCCTCCGGCCCGGACCTCGACGCGCCACAGGGCGATCGGCTTCGCGCCCACGGGCACGACCTGGGCTCTGGCCATCGCTCGGACGTCCATTCCCTGCGCTTTTTTTGGCTTCGTGCGTGATTTCTTCGCCAAATGATCAAGGATGATCCTTGATGGTCCTCGCCGAAAGAAAAAGGCACACGTCCGAGCCTCGCCCAGCAGCTCGGGGCCGACTGCCGGGGCGCTCCTCGGCCTCGGCGTCCCCGTCCGTCGGCGGCCTGCAGACGGGCCTGGCCTGCCCTCAGGGCTTCGGCTCCCTCGAGCCCCTCCTCAGATCTTGCCAGCTCTGACGACTTCGACGGTCTCCTGCAGACGCCCCCGAACTGCATCACATCTGTGTGCAGTCTTGCCTTGACGCCATGGCCCCTGCTTTCTGACACCGCTTGAACCGTTCAATACTGAAGGACTTCCTCGCTCGGGGGTACCCTCATCACCTCTCGTGTTGATTTCGCGCCGTGGCCTGTTTTCTGTGGGCCCTGGGGGCTGGAACAAGCCCGCAGAGGGTGCTCCACCTGATACCCCTGCGCCAGCACCACCGCTGCCGCCGAGGCGGTGCAGTGCGTGCACGGGTCACCTCCTGGCCCTGGATGTGCACGAGTGATCTCCTCGCCCTGGAGTGGCGACCCGCCGTGCACGAGTGATCCCATCGCCTCGGAGATGCACGAGTGATCTCCTCGCCTTGGAGTGGTGACCCGCCGTGTACGAGTGATCTCCTCGTTCTGGGTTTGCACAAGTATCTCCTCATCCTTGGGTGGGGGCCCGCCGTGCACGAATGATCTCATCGCCGTGGATGACTTGCAGGCTGCAGGCGAGCCGTGTCAACGCAGCCGTCCGCCTGCGCGGCTCCGCTCACCTCCGCGGCTGGGCCGGCGAGTCTACCTGCATCTGCCGCACGTCTGTCAGGGTAAAGGCATTCGGCGTCGCGCCCATCAGCTTCCAAACCATGAGCTGCACAACCGTCCAGGGCATCCGCGCTACGAGCATCATCATCACCACCACCATGACCACAATCAATAAAAGGTTCTTCAGCGCCTTCATCGCAGTCACCGTCCACATCATCGTAGACAACATATCGTCGTTCAGCCAAATCCCGTCCTCCACCTCCCCCCTCCCAAAATCATTATCCTCCTTCCGCCCCTCCTTCCTCAGCCCTATCATCATCCTCCTCCTCCTCTTCCTCCTACTCGTCCTCCCATCCTCCTCCTGATCCTCCACCCCCTCTATCCCATCCTACTCCATCTGTCTTTCTCACCCATCATCCTTCCCAAATCTCCGACGTTTCGCTTTCTGTTGCGCGGGGACCCGGGCTCTCGGCCCCCTCCTGGGAACCTCCTCGCCCCCGACAGCGTCTTCGCTCTGGAGTCCGAAGACGGCTTCCGGGCGCAAGACACGGCAAACAAAACCCGCCTCGATCTCCTCAGAACGTTGGAGTTCTACGGGCCCCCTCCTGCCTCCCGCCCCGAGGCCTCTGGGGGTTGATCGTCAGGGCCACGATCTTGCTCTGCTCTATCTCCATCAGCTCTTTGGGCGGGCTCTCGCCGGGCACCAGTGGGTAGTTGGCGACCTCACGCCGGCCGGGTCGCCAGAGGAGATCGGGGATCGGGATTTGGGGACGCTCTCTGCCGTTTCGGGGGTGTACAAGCCCCCATGCAGCAAAACAGAAAGACCACCTTTGGTGAAACATCGATCCAGGACCAGACCAGGCGGGGGCAGGTCCGCCACAAAGTGTGGCCACAACGCCCTCCCGAGAACTGCAGAGGGGCAAGTCGCTCATCGACTTTGCAGGGACGGTGCGGGCACTGGATGCCCTGAGCATCACGGCAACCTAAATATTTGTGCACCTCAACTTCTGCCCTAGATATCATGCCCAATGGCCCTTTGCAAAGAACAGTTGGACAAGCGATCCAGGGCTTGAAGGCGGTGGAACTCCCCTCGTGGGTTGGCCATGTAATTACATCACTGCCGCCCGCATCAGAGAACGAGTCCTCCGGGTCCTGAGGCCTCCTAAGCGCACCCCTCCAATAACGCCCCCACCCGTACGGGGTTCTATCAACCTCCGCTTGCCGTCGCTCGAGCGTCCCTTCCCCGTGCACTGTTCGGCGTCGTGCGCTTTTACTTTTTTCGCAGGATGGCCCAAGATGCTCCTCGATGGTCCCCGCCCGAAAAAATGCACGAGCGACGCCGACGTCCGACGAGCGATACCGCGTCCGAAGCAGCGTCGGCTCTGGCGGGTGAGCCCCGGGAGCCCACGCTTCGGGGGCGCTCAAACATGGATTAGCTGAAGGGGCCCCAGGACACACAAATAAATACACACAAATAAAAAGATTCCCCAGATTTTCCCATATTTTCGGGGCTTCTGTCTTCCCCACCACTTCCCATAGTTTCCCAGACTTTCGGGGGAATCGACGATTCATTGTGTCTGTGTGTTTCTTTTCCTCTCCTGAGATTTGGCGCGCGGTCGCCTCATTAGGGAGCCCACAAAAGACGTACGCGCCCAGCTATGTACATGAACACGGCCCCTCGATCCGCGAGACCGGCCGCGCTATACGAACATTTGCGCAATGCGTACTCTCGAAACCAGCGTGGATTCATGTACATGTACGTCCTTCTTTCGCTCCTGACTCATCCATGGATCCGGGGAGGTGCCCTCCCCAAACATGCGGCCGGCGCCGCCTCCTCCGGCGGCGGGAGCCCGGCGGGGTCCCGTGGCAGCGGGGGCCCCGTCGCCGATCCCACACGCCCCACGTGGTCCGTGCCTGCGGTCGCCGGAGCGCTGTGCACGCCCCCTCTCTCTCGAGGGGGCGAGGCCCCCCGGAGGGCCTCCGGGGCGCGAGGGCGGAGGAGGAGGAGGAGGAGGAGGACGAGGAGGAGGAGGACGAGGGAGGACGAGGAGGAGCAGGAGGAGGAGGAGGATGAGGAGGAGGAGGAGGAGGAGGAGGAGGAGGAGGAGGAGGGGGAGGAGGAGGAGGAGTAGGAAGAGGAGGAGGAGGAGCGAGGGCGTGCGCTCCCCGGGGGGGGCGGGGGCGGCGCTCTCCGCGGGCGAGCTCCGCGCGCGAGGCCCCGCCCGCAGACCTCCGGCTTCGCTCGGGCGCCCACTCCCCGGTGCACGCACGGTTCGACCTCGTGCGCGCGTGCTCTTCTGCCCCTAAAAAAACCAGCGTGCCGCTCGAGACATCCTCAACAAATTCTGAAACCAAGCGTTTCGCTCGAGACATCCCCAACTCTGCAAAACCAGCGTGTCGCTCGAGACATCCTCAACAAATTCTGAAACACAAGCGTTTCGCTCGAGACATCCTCAAAAATAATTTCGCCGGCCTCCTTCGACATCGATATTTATCAGGGAAAAATTTCGCCGGCCTCCTTCAAGTAGGGCACCGGGGACATGTTTACATAGAACATGATGGACCCACGAACCCGGAAAGGGATATAGACATGTGGAGCATGGGCACGTTTTCACGATACCCAACGGGGCAACACCTCACGAAACATCCCACGAGACACCTCACGAAACATCCCACGAGACACCTCACGAAACATTCCGCGAGACACCTCACGAAACATTCCACGAGGCACCCCGCGAAACATTCCACGGGACACCCCACGAAACATTCCACGACGACAGGCAACCACTCAACCAAGGCGGTGTGGTCGTGCTGGGGAGTGGTCGTGCTGGGGTGTGGTCGTGCTGGGGGGTGGTCGTGCTGGGGGGTGGTCGTGCTGGGGGGGTGGTCGTGCTGGGGGGTGGTTGTGCTGGGGCGTGGTCGTGCTGGGGCGTGGTCGTGCTGGGGCGTGGTCGTGCTGGGGTGTGGTCGTGCTGTGGTGTGGTCGTGCTGGGGTGTGGTCGTGCTGGGGTGTGGTCTTGCTAGGGGTGTGGTCGTGCTGGGGTGTGGTCGTGCTGGGGTGTGGTCGTGCTGGGGAGTGGTCGTGCTGGGGTGTGGTCGTGCTGGGGGGTGGTCGTGCTGGGGGGTGGTCGTGCTGGGGGTGTGGTCGTGCTGGGGGGTGGTCGTGCTGGGGCGTGGTCGTGCTGGGGCGTGGTCGTGCTGGGGCGTGGTCGTGCTGGGGTGTGGTCGTGCTGGTCGTGCTGGGGTGTGGTCGTGCTGGGGGTGGTCGTGCTGGGGGTGGTCGTGCTGGGGCGTGGTCGTGCTGGGGCGTGGTCGTGCTGGGGCGTGGTCGTGCTGGGGTGTGGTCGTGCTGTGGTGAGGTCGTGCTGGGGTGTGGTCGTGCTGGGGTGTGGTCTTGCTGGGGTAGGGTCGTGCTGGGGTGGGTCGTGCTGGGGTGTGGTCGTGCTGGGGTGGTCGTGCTGGGGTGGGGTCGTGCTGGGGTGGGGTCGTGCTGGGGTGGTCGTGGGGTGTGGTCGTGCTGGGGTGGTCGTGCTGGTCGTGCTGGGGAGTGGTCGTGCTGGGGTGTGGTCGTGCTGGGGTGTGGTCGTGCTGGGGTGTGGTCGTGCTGGGGTGTGGTCGTGCTGGGGGTGTGGTTGGGCGTGGTCGTGCTGGGGCGTGGTCGTGCTGGGGCGTGGTCGTGCTGGGGTGTGGTCGTGCTGTGGTGAGGTCGTGCTGGGGTGTGGTCGTGCTGGGGTGTGGTCTTGCTGGGGTAGGGTCGTGCTGGGGTCGGGTCGTGCTGGGGTGTGGTCGTGCTGGGGTATGGTCGTGCTGGGGTGGGGTCGTGCTGGGGTGGGGTCGTGCTGGGGTCTGGTCGTGCTGGGGTGTGGTCGTGCTGGGGTATGGTCGTGCTAGGGTGGGGTCGTGCATTTCGCTCGAGACATCCTGCCAAAATTCCAGGAAATCGTACAAAAACAAACGAATTAGTCGAGACATCATCGAAATTCCTTCGCGCGGGGCGCTTTTCCGCGTCGCGGTCGGCTCTGCAAAACAAGCGTTTCGCTCGAGACATCCTCGGCAAACTCTGCGGAGCAAGCGTTTCGCTCGAGACATCCTCAACACACGAAAAAGTGGCCCGCACCCTGTGATTTATCGATCGGGATTTCAAAAACAAGCGTTTCGCTCGAGACATCCTCAAATTTTAATTCGCCGGCCTCCTTCGACCTCGTTATTTATCAGGGAAAAAATTCGCCGGCCTCCCTCAAGTTGGCACCGGGGGATTAGGTTTACCAACTAAAAGAGAACCCTGGGCTCATGCCCTTTCCGGGAAAAATTCCAGGAAATCGTACAAAAACAAACAAATTAGTCGAAACATCATCGAAATTCCTTCGCGCGGGGCGCTTTTCCGCGTCGCGGTCGGCTCTGCAAAACAAGCGTTTCGCTCGAGACATCCTCGGCAAACTCTGCGGAGCAAGCGTTTCGCTCGAGACATCCTCAACACACGAAAAAGTGGCCCGCACCCTGTGATTTATCGATCGGGATTTCAAAAACAAGCGTTTCGCTCGAGACATCCTCAAATTTTAATTCGCCGGCCTCCTTCGACCTCGTTATTTATCAGGGAAAAAATTCGCCGGCCTCCCTCAAGTTGGCACCGGGGGACAGGTTTACCAACTAAAAGAGAACCCTGGGCCCAGGCCCTTTCCGGGAAAAAGAGAACCCTGGGCCCGCGCCCTTTCCGGGAAAAACAGGCGAGGCGGGGAGGTCTCCAGATCCACCGCCTGGGAACCGACGTCCTGGTGCGCTATAGCGGGCGGTGGATGTGGCTACGCTTCGGCCCCCGGGGGCCCGAATATGTCCACATCCCGCCGAAGCTCCGAAAACTGGCCCTCCAGGCGGTGGTCATGTATAAATTCCCGCCTCGGAAAGATGGCCCGACATGTTCCTCGACGGGCTCCGCCGACGACGAGAAGAATTCACGCGGTCGCGGACGATGCCGCGCAGGCGGTGCGCCCCAGGGCAGCGCAGGCGGTGCCAGGCCCGAGCTGGGCCGAATCGCGAGAACGAATCGGCACGCCAGGGGCTCGCCCAGCATCGAATCCAAAGCGGATCGCCGCACCAGGCTCGTTCGGCTCGGATTGGCCCTGGCCGGCACCGGTGGATCGAAGCGAACCGAGCCGAATCGGGTCCGCAGGCCCCCTCTGGCCAATTGAAAGACGTCTACTCGTAGCGTAGGCGGCCCCGCCCGCTTCAGGTGCACTCTGTGCGTGCCCGCTCGGGGATGTTGACTCGGTGTCCACTTTGTTTTCTTCGTCAGCATTCACCTGTGCTCGCATACGTTCTCCCCCCGCACATCGCTTGCAACCCATGGACGGGTCCAAGGTTCGCTGTTTGAGCGCTTCTGCTGGCGGATGAGGCGCAAGCCAGTGGTATCATTGCTCCGTTCTCCGATGCAGCTGGGCGTGCCACAGGTGCCCAGGTCCGCTTTCTCTTCACAGGTTCACGCGAAGGTGCGTCCTGGGTGGTCAGCTCCAGAAGCCCCGGATCCCAAATGTTTAACAACTCGCTTCGAGCTGCTTCGGCCCCCTTCCGCGAGCCCTGCCCCATCGGAGCAGCCGCCGCTCTACAGCCGTGTGCTACCAGAAGGAACGCGCCGAATAAGGACCAAGGGCCGTTTCTAGTCACAACGAGCCTCAACCGCGAGTAGGCTCCCCGGCCTAGACCGCAGGGGGGGCCCAGACCAGAGCCC